TATATATGTATATATTATATAGGCGAACCTTATGGTTGTACGGCAGTGAAGCATCAGTGGCAACACTGATGTTGCTGTCTTTGATGATGATGATGATGATGAAATCTCTACCCTGTTGGTTTGCAGAATCGATCTGAATACGAGAATCATCGTTTAGTTTTTGATTTCTCCCGTGCAAAAGCATAGGTCGTCAGGGTATACAGACCCCTGCTGTTGCCAACAAGGATACCGGAACTCATGAGCGAAACTCAACATGATCGACTAAACAAGACAGTTGTGACCCTCTAGTATTTTTATTGCATCGTCAAGCGGCGAAAATGGCTATAAGAAGCTTAAGATTTCGAACTTACAAGACAAAACCTTGGTTCCATGTAGGATCCAGAGTCTTGTAAATCGTTGATGTATAGGCGACCCGATTAACGAGGCGCAGGGTGCAGTAGGGATCCGATTTACCGTTGGAATCGGCAGCTTTTATCTGACGAGCTCCGATCACTGCGAAGACGCCATAGAGGAATGGATCAACACGGTAGACAGGATAGACAAACATGTTCTTGTGTGTGTTAGAAAGTAGAAAAGGATTTGCTAGATCGTGAAATAAAAAGAACGCGTAAAAAACAGATGGATGAAAAGATACGCCACCCTTTTGGTTTTTGGACGGATGCCCGGTCGAAAGAGTTACCGGAGTCACTGATAAATATTTCCTCTGGCATCCTTGCAGCTGTTAAGTAACTGTAGCTACCCCGTCACCCACATACTTGACTGTTCAGCTAACGGTCGCTAACTTGATCACGAGGCTTGTCTTTTTTTCATACTCATAAACCAAGTCACATCAAGCTGACACATCGGACAACGATTGTCTGTATCGTCTAGTCAGCGTAGCAAGTACTCATGTGCTTGAAAAATAACACAGTGACGAACATTAATGTTTTCGGGATCTCGTCATCAGGTCAGTACATATCTAATGGTTAAAATATGAGCGAAAAGTGAAATACGCTACGAAGATTGGTTAGTGAAATGCAAAAACGTGGAGACACGAGCGATTGGTTGTCTGCGCCTCCCCCCCCCCATTTCGCATCTAGTTGGATGCTGTGAGACAGTGAAGAGGGCTGTTGAGTGACTTGGACGGTTGATTCGTGTCACACAACCAAGGCAGACTCAGCGTTCGTACGAAACGTTTTTGACAGCACAGTACCGGGTTTCGCAGGCGTATAGCGACTGCCTCGGCCGTTGTCAACCAATCAGGAAGTCAAACACTCTCCACAAGTCCACGGACAATTATGGAGTACGTGTAGCGGTCGAACTGCGGAGAAACTATTAGTGCACAGTTGGTGATGGCCATAATACAAATCAGGTGTATGTGTACTAATAGAAGTTTTTAGCATGGTTGCGATACGTATAAAAAATAAATACAGTGCGAGAATGGGAGCAAGTCAAAAAGGGAACTTATCGTATATGAGAGTCCCTTGGTGGAAGTCCGGACGGCGGGAACGTGTTTTTCTCCGCAGTTCGACTGCTACACGTACTCCATGGTTGTCCGTGGACTTGTGGAGAGGTTGACGTCCTG